TAGAAAGGCAAAGAAATGAAAGACGTGAAATGACTCTTTTTGAAAAGGAAAGGAAATGTAACTCTTGTATTTACCAAAATCATTCGCTACTCCTTCCCCTATTTTTCTGTCCCTGCCGGTCATTCTTGCTTCGCATACCATCTCACGTATAACTTTTTGTTCTTTAAACTTGTTACTTTGAATGACTGTTGAGAGAAGAAGAGATACGCGTTCTGGAAGGAAATACGCACCACCTGTATGTATGTATTAAAAACAATTCTGTTAAGTGGCATGAATGGCTGGCTGGCAATGAAATAAGACAGAACAGGGTGGGGAAACTTTGGGAGATTCGGAAACCTAAGAATGATTTAAAATGGTGACTGCTAAGTATTTGCTTTGGGGAAAAAATCTGTTTCAAATTCATGGTTTTTGTTTCGGTTGCTATGTATACTTGCACATAGCAAAAGAATGAATAAACATCTAAAATGCAATTTACTCGTTTTTATTTCTGAATCATAAAACGGAAAATACTAATACAGATAACAAGAATATTAATAGGCCCAGAATATGGGACCTGCCAAATTTTTTTTTAGTAATGTTAACATTTAGTAATGTTAATTTTAGTAATGTTGATCCTGGGAGATATTGGACATGGAAGGGGAAAAAAGGGAAGAGAAGCAAGTAGAATGCCTGCAGAAGGCAAAGTATGATAAAGATCACATACTGTCCACCCCTTTTCTGCTGCCACTTCTGCAGGCTTCAAAATTTCTCCACCAGTTTTCCCAACTTCACTAAACATTTATCTGCTTGCTCTGGGGTTTTGTTTTATTTGCTTGTTTTCTTGCTTGCTTTTTATGTGCAATTTGTGATCATTTATTCTGTTTCTATGCCGTTTGATGCATTGATTTTGGGATGCAGTCTCTTGGTTGCATTTTACAATCTGTCTAAACTTCCATTAAAATGATTAGAGTTCTTAGCCAAAAGAGATACCATCAGACACAAAATATATGTATATTCGTCTTTCTATTTACACAAATGGCATCATACTCATTCATTATATATTTAACCATCAATGTGTTAAATAATAATGGAGTTATCATACATTCTTCTTTTACTCCCTGCTCAATGTTGAACCATTCGCTAAGCATTTAGTCTATTCTCACACAAGCTTTCCTTCCAGCAACCAATCTTCACACTCTTGAAAAACATCCTGTAATTCAAGTCTATTCATTGTCAAACGCTCTCTCTAAACCAGCTCTTTAAAAATTAACTATTTTATATAAAACTTATTTTTCACAGCTGTCTTCACCCTATGGATTCCTATGTTCATTTGCACCCACAACAATGTAGAGATCTTTCAGTTCATAAGTTACGACAATGCGCATCTTCATTTCCCTACTTGCATTCATTCACTACTGTGCAAGAACAGACCATCTATTGCTTTCTTTACATTTCTTTTACTGTAGCTTCATAGACGTTCAGACTATTTTGTTTTTATTTCTTTCATTTATTAGTCCATGCACTTTACTCCTCTTACTTTCCATGTTTCAATCTTTCATGGTCACAGACAAATATTGATCGCTATTGTCATAATGGTTTTGATCAATCTAGCCCATCCCACAATGCTTTTTTTTTTCATAAGGTAGGAATTGCATAGGCTAGGTCATCATATTGGGTCATATCCCTGTCACATGCGTCACTCTCTGTTAACAGTAAGGACAGTACAGTTTGGGCACATTTTTGGTCAGTTTGGCATCATTGCAATCAAAATCCAATTTTACCCCAAGCATGCTTCAGCTATTCCACACATATTAGGATCTCTGATCCTGAGGCAGACCTGCAATCCAACATACTGTGATCCAAATCCCTCCAACTCAGAAGTACATGTAACGTATTGACATGATCAACTTGTCTGTTAATTTCAGAGAAAAATATATTCACAGGACTATAATAAATAAATACCCAACTTTCATTAGCTTCTCAAATCATATTGCCTTGAAACCTCTGAGATATACAAACATATACACACATATCCTGCATAGAATATATACATGCATTATGTGTGTCTCTGTGTGTTTAGTTGTAGAATTTTCATTAAAACTGAAATGTGGAATCTCTTCCATCATTTCTGATTTTAATCACTTTTCTTTTTTAATTCAGGAAAGAATTACATTGGGTTATAGTTAGATTTGCATATTTTCATATATGTCAAGGTTAACATGCAAACAATACTTTTATAAAGCAAAATGAAAAAATGTTGGGCTGTGGCAGTACAGAAATAAGAATGAATGAGAATTTGCTTGGATACTCTACAGGTCTCTGGAAAGAAATTTCAGTATGTCATATTTTTGTCCTAAAAGAAAGAAAGAAAGAAAGAAAGAAAGAAAGAAAGAAAGAAAGAAAGAAAGAAAGAAAGAAAGAAAGAA